CGGCTTCAGACCCAGGTACGGCACTGAATCTGCTTGGTCGCCCTGTACGATGACCTGTGCAGGGAGAGAGACAGGGGGAGTGCGTCCCTGTTAGTTCTCCTGGACCTCTCAGCGGCTTTCAATACCATCGACCATGGTATCCTTCTGAATAGGCTAGCGGGACTGGGAGTTGGAGGCACTGCGTGGCGGTGGTTCGCTCCTATCTCAACGGCCGATTTCAGAAGGTGGTGCTGGGGGACTATGGCTCTGCGCCATGGCAGTTATGCCATGGAGTTCCACAGGGGTCCATTTTGTCCCCCTTGCTATTCAACATCTACATGAAACCGCTGGGAGAGGTCATCAGGAGGTGTGGGCTACAAAATCATCAGTATGCTGATGATACCCAGCTTTACCTCTCACTTTCCACCAATCCAGGTGAGGCAGTGGCTGTGCTGAACCGGTGCCTGGCCGAGGTAATGGGCTGGATGAGAGCCAATAAACTGAAGCTCAATTCAGACAAGACAGAGGTCCTGTTGGTGGGTGGCTTGGGACTCGGGATGGGGGACTTGGGCCTTGTCTAAATGGGGTTGCACTCCCTCTGAGGGACAGGGTTCGCAGCTTAGGAGTGCTCCTCGACCCTGAGCTGTCTTTAGAAGCCCAGGTGACGGCAGTGGTGAGGAGCGCCTTCCTTCAGGTTTGGGTGATCCATCAGCTGCGTCCCTTCCTGGAGAACGACTGCCTGGCGACAGTGACACACGCACTGGTAACTTCCCAATTAGATTTCTGTAACACACTCTACGTGGGGCTACCCTTGAAGACGGTCCGGATACTTCAATTGGTGCAGAATAGAGCTGCCAGGTTGCTGACGGGGACTGGGCGTTGTTCTCATATAACCCCAGTTCTCCATCAGCTCCACTGGCTCCCAATTGAAGTCTGGGCCCAATTCAAGGTGTTGGTTATGACCTATAAAGCCCTAAACAGCTTGGGCCCTGGGTATCTAAAGGAACGCTTGTGTCCATATATGCCCTCCCGCCCCATCAGATCAGCGGCAGAGGCCCTTCTCCGGGAACCCTCAGTGAATGATATTAGGAGGGTGAGTACCCGCAGGAGGGCCTTCTCTGCAGTGGCGCCCCATCTATGGAATGCACTCCCCAGAGAGGTCCGCCTGGTGCCATCGTTATTTGTTTTTCAGCACCAGGCTAAGACCTTTTTATTTAAAATTTATTTTAAGTGTTAATTTATTATGTAGGATTTAAAAAAAAATTAAGCCGAGATGCACCGGGTTTTAATATTTTTAGTGTATAACTTTGTTTTCGTATAATTTTGTATATTTTTGTTTTTGTTGTGTGTCACCCTGAGGCTTTGTTGCGATGGGGGCGGCATAGAAATGTTTTAAATAAATAAATAAATAATAAGGAGGGGACAGGAGGAGGAAAAGAAAGGAATGTCTGAGCGAGCTGATATTACAAAAAGACAGAATCAAAATATAGAAGGAAATACGGTGAATTCTGGAAAGACAGACAATGCTTTGCATGTGGTCTGAAAAGGCATTTGGCTTATAAATGTCCATATTAACAACCCAAGCAGACAACACTTGAGCATGTCTAAGAGGGAACAGGCTAGAGACTCCAACAGTTCAACAGACAGACTTGAAAGAACCAGTAAAACCATTCCCTTGCCCATGACTTAGGAAAAACAGTTTTTTGTGTGGGGTAAAGATAGATAAGATTGCTCAGAATACTGAATTTAGAGAGTTGGTACAAATAAATGGGAGAGATGCTTTGGCTATTCTATATACAGGAGTGTCAGTAACTCTGGTTAGGGAGGACTTGGTTAATGAGAACATGATTCCAAATAAGAATATAACTTTACAAGGTGCTTGGGGAAATTCTAAAAGCATGCCATTAGCACAGTTGAAAATTAACTGGAGCGGGAAAGAAGAATATTTCCCTGTAGTAATTATTAAAGAACAGAAAATGCCAGTAATTTTAGGAAGGGATGTCATGAGAACGAAGGCCCGGATTCAGATTTGCACAGACTCAAACATTTGCTAGGAGGCGAGCCAGCAGGCCCATAAAACAGCCTCCTACCCATCTTAGCAATGGACATTGCTACATTGCAGGTGGAACGGAGAGACATAGGCTCAAAAACTTCCTGTCAGTGCTGTTGAACTATCACAAGAAAAAAGTGACATTAAAAACTCTGAGGAGTTTAAGAAAATATCAAGATGAACCCTGCATTAGAGGACATAAACAAGGTGGCAAATGGCTTGCAATTTGAAGTTTTGATGGCTGAAGAAGTGTAGGCAGTGCAGGAAGTGTATGGGATGCCACAGGGTGGAAATGATGCCGAGACAGCATCTCTTTGGAAGTCTGCAAGATTGATGGTGTACACTGGTAACATTTAACTCCATTAAGGAACTGAATGAGCACTGGCAATCGCTGCAGCAGCTGGCAGAAGAAAGGAGCCACCTGGCAGGAAGCTCCCATGAGGTTCAGAGGTTCCCCGGAGATTCCAAACAAATGAAGGAATGGATTGAAGAGAAGAACCAGGCCCTCAGTACAGACAACTTTGGGCACGGCCTGACAAGTGTGCAGGCCCTACAGTGCAAGCATGAGGGCCTGAAGAAAGAGCTCACAGCTCTTGGCGACAAGACAGTTGAACCCCTGATTCATTCCCACCCCTCATCTGAAGATCTCCAGGAAAAATGCTCAGAGCTGAAGCAAACCTGGGGCAGTCGAGGAAAACATGCCAAGCCGGCACCAAAAGCTCGGCTGGTTTGCAGGAAGTCAGGAGGAACTGAGAGCTGTTTCTTATCCTGCCAATTCAACACAGCTTCTGTTGTGACTCAGAGAATAGCTGCTCAGTAAGCTGGGGGGTGCCAGTACAGCAGGCCAAGTCACAGCAGAAACACAACACTGCACTTCCTCACTGGGCAGAAGTATTAGCACCACCCATCAAACAGAAGGCACATTTTGAAATCAAGGATACAAAGAGTCATCTAAGACCTCGCAGCAAAGGGAAAAAAGATGCCAGAAAGCAGCAGGCTGTTATAGACAACTGCCATGTAACCTTTGTGTCTCTCAAGTGTGACTCCTCACGAATAAACACACACAACCCTCAGGGCCAGAAATCACCATCAAAGGAAGTATCTTATATCACTACTGAATTTGAAGTACAGATGAAGTCTGAGGAAGTCTCAGACACATGTAACATTGACTGTTTGCAGAAAAGGATGGAGCAGAAGCCCCGAACAGCAATCAAAACCTTGAGAAAATCCATTAACAAACGGCAATTTCACATTCAGTTTTTTGGCACTGAGCATGAAGTGGCTCAGAAGACCAAGGAACAGAAGGTCAACTTGTCTTGTGAAGCTCACCCAGGCAATAATAGCTACATGCAAATTACGAAACCTTGACTTCCAGGTATGGTTTTCATTCATTTCCAAATGGCACAAAACTGGAAAATGTTCATTAGGGAGAAGAGCGATTTGTTCAAGGTACTGCAATTAAGCAATCTATTCTTGCCTTGATTGAGGGCTACCCTGATGCTGTGGGCAAGAAGGCTGCAGGGGTTAAGGGACGGAGACAATTAAGTTTGCAAAAGAAATTGTGCGGCACTATTTCCAAAGCATTTATGGGAGCAGTCCTCCACATTTCAGCCACATAAAGCATTTATGTGATCACTTTACTATAATAAGCTTTCAGGGTAGGTTCAGTCAGCTGCCCACCTTTGTTATAAAACTTCATTAATGCTGCTATGGTTTTCTGTACCTTCAATTTTATGGCCAGTCTGTGCTCTTTCCATGACAGCAACTCTTCAAAAAGGATGTCCAATTATCTAAATGAGCAAGTTTTTTTTAATAACATGTTGGTCTAGACACCATCTATGCTTAGCTCCATGACTGCCAAAACCATGATCTTCTTCAAGCCCAAATGGGAGAGCAAAATTAATATTAAATAATCTGCATACATCAAAATAAAGATTTTTTCTGTTCATAACTACTGGAGGTGGAGAATTTACTTGTGCTAGATGTGACACCAGATCATTAACATAACCAGTGCTTTTTTTTGTCATAGAACACACCAGAACAGAGTTCCAGCATCTTTTTTCAATGGATTTTCCAAGTTTTAAAAGTAACTTTTGAAAATTGGATGTTTGGTCCATGTGGATTTGAATTACCCATCATGTGTAGCAGGTTGGTGGCAAAATCATTAAAACATTAAGCGGGCTGCTTGTGTGTCGAATCCGATGCATGCGTACTTCGTCCGCGCTGGTTGTGATGGCACTGCTCGGCTTGTGATGGGTCATGTTCTTACTGCGGGCAGTGACCATTATGTTTCGTTACACAACTGATGTGTGTGGGTGTGTGTACTGTGATTGAGTACATGCGAAAGGTAAATAATTCCTTTATTTTAAACAAATGTTGGTGAATTGAAAATCCTTTTTTAATTTTTAGTGTAAAAGTGTGACCCCAAATTTAAAAATGAAAAAAATTACTAATTACTTCTCAACCACCAGTCCTGCTAATAAAAAGGCCAGAATATTAACAGACACAATGACAGAACACATAGATACTAACAGCAGGGAAAGGAGAAGAGTTGTTGGACGAGAATTGGACAAAACTTTGGAATTTACTATGAACATCTGCCTTAAATACAATAAATTAAATTTATGTTAAGAACTGAATATATAATTTTTTAAATAAAAGATTAACAAGATGTGAGTTCCGGCACCTTTTTTCTTACAAAAAAAGCACTGAACATAACTATTAAAAAGAGCGGGGGCATTTCCAGCGACAGGGACGAGCCAAGAGCGGCGGGTCCTGACCGCGCAGGGGACCCTCCCCGCGGCGCTAACAGCGGGGGGCAGCCGGCGCCCCGCCCCCTCCTCGATTCCTCCGCAGGACCCCATTCATTCCTCTTGGAGCAGGCGGCACCGCGCCGATGCGAGAATGCGCATGCGGAAAACTGATCCCGCCTTTGTGGGAGTGGAGCCCAGAGGCCTGTCGATCATTCTGTCGTAACGGGCAAGATGGCGGCGCCCAGGTCGTCCACGGGGGTGGAGGTCCGCTGTCGCTTCGCGCGCTGACCGCCGCCGCCCAGTTTCTGTCGTGCTTCCCGGAGGCTTCGGTGGGTGCTACGCACCTTCCTGGTCGACTCGCAGATGTTGCCGTTCAGCTGTGCCTGGCGCCGCCTCGCGGTGGCCCCGATCTGCCGCACTTGGTTGCAGTCTAAAAGGAATGGCGCAACGTCGGCGCTTCATGACTCCAGTGCTTCGAAGTATGACGTTATTGTCATCGGTGGAGGTCACGCTGGGACGGAGGCAGCATCGGCGGCAGCGAGGGTGGGAGCCCGCACTTTGCTCATCACGCATAAAATAGACACCATAGGTAAATAGAAGTGAGAAGCAAGCCCTTTTTTACTATTAAGTGAAAGTCAAGAAATGCAAACCCAGAACTCGAAAGATGCATAAGCTTAAAGTTTCTCTCAGGGCTAAGGATGTGAAAAATGAGGTCCTTCAGATATTTTGTACTACAGTCCAGTCATTCTTAACCTTTGGCCACGTTGGGTGGGGCTGATGGGAGTTCAAGGACAACTGGGAAGGCCTCAGGTTTCATATTCCGGATTCCATACACTGAGATAACACTGCAGGTCTTTTAAACACCCCATGATCAATACACATGTTATATTCCAGGGCATCAAGAAGTGTTGTTGCATACTGCAATTGTATCCTAAGGATTCCCACTTACTTGTGCATGTACTAGATGGCTGTTCTCCAAGTGAATTTGTGTTCAGATATTTCATTTTAGCACAGGCTAATCATTTGTTTTTCATAAGAACATACTGACAGGATTACACAGTGGTACAGAATGGGCTTTTATGTGCATGTGATCTCCAAAGCACATCTGCAGCTGCATACAAGCGTACTATATTAACAAGCAGCACCAGAAAAGCACCTTAAAAGCTGTTACTTTTGTTAGACTGAGTGGAAGTTTCTGTTTCCAGTTTATGAAGAGACAACTTCCCTTTCTCTTGCTGTTTCTGTTGAGAGTACTAGGACTTTTCCCAATAATTGCCACAAGGTCTGCTGAACATGACAGTTCAGGAGTTAAGTTTCCAGTGAGCACATATAGGATTGCTGCTGCAATTGTTGTGCTAAATGTCTGTTCTGTGTTTGGCATACTTAAGAAATCTAACCATTTTGCTGCCATACAAAGTAATTTTTGAGGTGGGAAAAAAAATTCTGTCAAGGTTCTGGCAAAAGTGGATTGAAAAAAAAAATCAGTGTTCTCATTAGATATCCATATCTAATCAAATTCCTAGATCAGAAGCATAGGTAACAAAAAACGTTTAAAACTCAGCAATCATTATGGTAGACATATTTTCTATCTGTGTCTGCTATATCTAAATATTTTAAAATAAGCACGAATATGGAGTTTTCTCATATAAAAATTTAGATGTAAAGTGGTTTGGTTTATAGAATGGCAAGCTTTGGACACCCACTTTGCAACCCTTTCTGGGTTCAATTGGATGACATACTTTGTCAAGCTAACTGTTTAACTTTAACCTAATATGGCATTAGGTTACTATAGCTCTGTGTGAATACTGTCCAGTATGTGGGGCTTCATGTTTCTTTATTGTTAAATAATCATCATCATCATCATCATGTGTCTCTGGCTGACCCTCTCAAAGCCTGACTCATCTTGAAAATTCCATCTCCTTAAGGAACTAGCTCAAAAATCCTGCTTATAACAGCATGGGGAATTTAAATAAGTAGTACTGTTGTTCAGTAATCAACTTCTTAACTAGAAACCTGATGGAAAATAGAGAAAACATTATTCTTTTGAGCTCTCCGTTTAACGATGTCAGCTATTTGCCTTTGTGTGCTTATTCAGCTAGAACTGTGTTAATTCTTCATAATTTGTCATTCATGCTATCTTGGGGCAGAAAAGTAGGGTGGAACTTAAATCTTCAGCTTCCTAAATAGAAGCTGATACAGAACAATCTGTTGCTCAGTGGTAGTCAGAAGAACACCCCTTGTTATCTTGCACAGGACAAATGTCATGTAACCCTTCCTTTGGTGGAATTGGGAAAGGACATCTAATGAGAGAAGTGGATGCGCTGGATGGGCTCTGTGCACGAATCTGTGATCAATCCGGAGTGCATTACAAGGTGCTCAACAGGTGCAAGGGTCCCGCTGTCTGGGGTCTCCGGGCTCAGATCGACAGGAAGCTCTACAAAGAGAACATGCAGGTGAGAATGGGGAAAATAAGGTATCTTAGAGCACAGTCCAGGGGTGTTTAAGAACAGAAGCCCTGCCACCCTCCGCATTTTGTAGCTAGCCATTGTGGCTGGGTGATGCTGGGAGCTGTAGGACCCTTTTCTGCCTAAACATGCATAGAATTCTGCCTTTAGTGAGAGGAAAGGGGGATCTAGGTAAGCATAATAACGAGGTTCATGTGGTTTGCAAATACAGTAAGAATGTAAGTGGTATTTGCTGCACCATGCAACTTAAACGTTGCTGTTTGTAGACAGTGATAATGAAAACGCTTGTACCGTTAGGCTTTTTAAGGGGCCTTCCATTATATTTAAAGCTTAATGAAATTGTGCTGAAATGCAAAGTCCTGGATTAAATGAATGAAATAAAGGAAAGGGGAGTGTATTATCATCAGTAGCAGTTCAGAAATATGAACTGAATTTTCACCACATAACTTGCACAAACTGAGATGCCTCAGAAAAGCAGGAGGCATGTTATTGTTTTTGGAGGTTCTTTTTCTTTTTTCTTTGTTTTTTAAAAGGATGTGTGTGTGTGCCCATTCATTTAAAGATTGTTTTTTCCTAGTAGAAAGAAATTCTCCAAACTCCACTTCTGACCATTTGTGAGGCTGCTGTGGAAGACCTACTGCTGTCAGCACCAGAGTCAGATCATCCTGGAAAATGCCAGGTTAATGGAGTCATTCTAGGTCAGTACTGGGGAAAGCATCTTCCTGAGCTGGTTGTCACAATCCATTTGCATAAGGCAGGGGTGCACAACTTGTGGACTCCCCTGCTGTTGTCATTGCAAAAGCCACAGTGACATTACTGCACAAAAACAACTCACAGCTGTTGTGGTGGACGTTGCTGTTCCTGCTTCCCCTGGAGCGCTCACCAAGACACTTCAGGTTCCAAGAATCTGAGTGGATTTCTGCTTGTGAGAAAGGCTTTAGGACCTGCACTTCTGTGGTGGGAACTATAGAGCAGCAGAGGTTGTCCTCAAGAGACTAAATATATGCCACATTTGGAGACTTTCTTACTGTCTGATGGTTGCTGCTGCTGTTTTTGCGGCTACACAAAGAAGCACAATTTCTAAAATGGAAGTCAGAAGTAAGAATAAGATGAAACTGTAGGAGATGAATTTAGAAGTGTGAGTTTGATATGTGTGCATGAGGGCATGTGCAGCCTCAGAAGGTCAACAGACATTTGATTCCACCCTTCGGTTTGAAAAAGGTTGCCCACTACTGGCATTGGCTGTACCCTGGAAAAAGTATTCAGGCAGGGGAAGCTTGCACCGGTAGAGGGTACCTCCCGGATGTGGTGGTCCCCAGGAGGAGCTTTGGGAAGTGGTCCCTATAGCAGGCATCATCTCCATCTATTTGCGCTGGGGCTGTTTTCACAGACTGCACGTGGGAAAAACTAGCTTTTAGATCATTCAGGAAATGAACAGAGTTGTTTTCCAATTAGCAGCAAAATAACTTACCTCATTTTTGTGCTGATCCAACATGAATTAGGGGGAACCTTCCCCCTAAAGCATATGTTCATGCTTGTGATCTGGGACTAGTCCTCACTGAACTATTGCCCTCATTTCTAGCCATATCTTGAGGTGGGTAAGCAACCATGCTTGTAATCTGAACGTTGGAGTCATATGGCCACTGCTGAGGCTGCAAAATCAGCATCAACAGGCATGGTGCGGCATGTTCTCCAGTGTGTATCTCTGGGCCATCAACAGTTTGAAGGCTCGGACATGCCTCAGAAATTAATCATAATAAAAGGTTACCAGAAAAATATCCAGAATAGAGGTTGAGCCAGAAAACAGGAGGTTCTCTCTGCATATTGAGGACATGTCAGGGAAATTCAGGCAACTGGTCTGCAGGACATCATGAAAAAAATAGCCGTGTGGGTGTGTGTGGTTTCACTATCTTGAAACAATTGTGTGAATTTGCCCGTTAAAGGGAGGTGGAATTTTCTAGGACCCCAATGAGCCACAGGGAAGGCTTTTTGTTTTTATCTTTTTCTTGAAGATATCTGTATGCTAAACTACAGGTTACTTCATTTCCTAATGAAAACCTTTTAGGTGGTAAAAATGGAAATACTACTTTCTCTGAGCACTTCCAGATAAACCTTTTATTGTATAATATCAATTGCCTCATTCACAAAATTATTTCATTCTACACTGCCCGATAGCTGAAGCTCTTGTGGGGGAGAGATGTTTTCTCACCACTTATTCTGTCTTTTTTCTTCTCAGCAAAAACCTGTTAAAGGAATGGCTACAGAACAGTTGCCTAGTGCCTTTTGGCTGGTAGTGCTCAGAGCCTTCCACCTGAAAGCCGCCCTGTAACTGGGGCAGCAGCTGATGCGCCACATGTTCATTTTCCTTCATGTTTCCATTGCAGAAGATGGAAGGCGAGTGCATGCTGGGAGTGTCATTCTAACAACAGGAACATTTCTGAGGGGGGTGATCCTAATTGGATTGGAAGAGCATCCTGCTGGGCGGATGGGAGAGCAGCCCTCCATTGGCCTTGCTCAGACACTAGAGAAACTTGGGTTTACCATTGGAAGGCTCAAGACTGGGACTCCACCTCGACTGGTGAAAGACTCCATTGACTTCAGTGTTCTGCAAGCGCAAGCAGCTGACAGTTCTCCTGTGCCCTTCAGCTTTCTTAGCGACACCGTGTGGATTAAGGTGGGGTAGAAGGCCTGAAGATGTATGCAGCTGATGGAGTTGATATGAGTAGCCTGTCTCACTCTCTGTGTGTGTGTGAGGGAGGGAGGGAGGGAAGGAGGCATACATTTTCCTAGCAATGATTTTTGGCACTCAAAAATAATATTTTGAAATGGCTGCTTAAATGTGGGAAATGTCTGTATAGTGGCCGCATGAGTCAGTGTGTGCCTAAATGACCATTAACAGCCAGTGTGGCACGGTGCTTAGAAAGCTGGACTGGGGGCCAGGGACGTGCAGATTCTAGTCCTGACCAGCCATGAAGCTCCCTAGGAGACGTTGGGCTAGTTCCTCACTCTCAACCTAACTCACAGTGTGTTGTGAGGATAAAATGGACTGGAGAAGGACTATATAAACTGCTTTGGGTTCTTTGCAAGGGAAAAAATGGGAAATAATTGCAGTAATATTACTATTATTTGTGTATCCCTATTCAGACATATTGAAAATAATGGTAATAGGCTCCTTGAAAGCCTGTGTTAGACACTGGGATATTCCAAAGACCGTGTATACTAGTCTTCTTGAAAATAGTTCTCACTCGATGTGTTGGACTACCATTCCCGGCATGACCTTGGGAGTGTAGTCAGACACGTTTGGAAGACACCATGTTGGAAAAGGTTTTTATTCCTAAAATACCAGTCCTGTTATGTAGAGAAAATGGCATAGTTCTTAAATGCCTTTTTCCATTCCCCAGCAGTTTCTTGTCCCTGAACAATCCATATTGTGATTTTTTTCAGTCATCCATAAGGGTGTTATTTTCTCCTTAAGTTCAAGCAGACTTATTTATATAGGCTACGAGAAAGGCCAATACTTTCCCTCCATCGTTATTCAGAAGAGTCTTATTGAAATACAGTGTAAACCATTATAGAACTCTTACTTCCCTTCTAAAATATCCCAACCTTATATTTATAATAGAGATACAGTTTTCCTGAGAAGCTAGACAGTTGTGCTGCCTAATAATGATTAAGACTGGTACAGAGGGTTGGGTTTCTCGGCTTCCTATCTGACATCAGATAAATTATTAAATCAGAGGTGGTCAGCTTCTGCAGCTCTGCATGTTTTGGCCTAAAATTCCCATCTCCCCTCACCGCATCTGGAGGGCTACAAGTTGCCCATTCCTGCACAAAGCCTGCTGATCTCAAAAAGGTTTGCTTAGATGACAGTTCAAATGAAATGGCTTAGATTTCTTCCCTGCACGTATATGTAAGGTTGGGCCTAACTTATGTTGGTGGCTGTATGTCTCTGCCTCAGCAGTATTATTAGAAATAAAGGATCTTTTATAGCTCATTTTTGGGGGGATGGAGGAAGACACCCAATGATAAAATCTTAGGTATGATAATAAGGATTAAGTGAAGACTTAAGGAAACAGCGATCTCTGCAGCGAGACTATGCAAATGTATTCAACCATGTATGAAAAAATACAAAAATAAATATATTAGTTAAATCCAGGAGGTCTTCTTCTGTTTCAGCCAGAAGATCAGCTCGACTGTTACCTGACTTACACCAACCCCAAAATTGACCAGATAATTCGTGAAACTCTTCATCTGAACAACCACATCAGCGAGACAACAAGAGGACCACGGTGAACCTCCCATTTATTTATTTATTTATTTATTTATTTATTTATTTATTTATTTATTTAGAGTGTGTGTGTGTGTGTGTGTGTAGACAAATATGTATACAAACAGATGCACACACAGCATTACTGTAAGCAAGAAAGGCAGTTCTGTACCCTGAGGGGTTTACATTCCAAATTTCAGCGTGGGGAGAGACAGTGGGGAGAAATGGGGAATGGAAGGGAGAATAGCAGCAAGGCCAGTGGGGCAGAATATGCGAATGCAGTGCACATGCAGACTTAGACTTGTTTTCTGTAATCAGTGAGGAATACTTCAGTAAGGAACATATCCAGTCTCTCGCACTGTCTGGGGGGAATCATGGAGGACTCTGAAATTCCTCATCTTGCCAAATTCCTGATTTGGCTGCTTATTCCTGTGTCCAGGTACTGTCCCTCACTTGAATCAAAAGTTCTACGTTTTCCAGATCGCATCCATCAAATCTGGCTTGAGCCAGAGGGCCTGGATTCTAATGTGATCTACCCACAGGGAATGTCAATGACCCTGCCCTCGGAGATCCAGGCAGAACTCATCACCCATATCAGGGGCCTGGAAAAGGCGAAGATGGTGCAACCCGGTAAGAGGTGGAAAGGTCACGTTCCATGTTATCATATGGGGGTGTTTCTGACATTATGTGTGCTTGTTTAAAGCATTCATAGGTCATCTTCCATCCACTTTAGAGTATATCTAAGTGCTATGAAGGTAGGTCTGCAACCCCTCAGAAAAATTAACAAATTTGCATGTATTGCTGTGTGTGGCAGACATTTCCCTCGTTCATTCTTTTATTCATTTTCCCTCCCTAGGCTATGGAGTTCAGTATGATTTTCTAGACCCACGTCAGCTGACTGCCTCTCTTGAATCTCGTCTTGTCCAGCGTCTTTTCTTTGCCGGGCAGATAAATGGCACAACTGGCTATGAGGAAGCTGCTGCCCAGGTAAGGGAACTGAAAACAGGTGGCAGAAAATGAGTGATAATCTTCTATGGTGCTAAATTTCTTAATTAACTAGATATTTTCAGCCTTGTATTATTTGGATGCTTTTTTCAAATTAATGTGTTAGGCTTCACATTTCCATCCTTGCTTGGGACATGCTTCTCTATACTTGTGTTTCCATTCCCTTCTGGAATGCAAATGATTAAGAGGATTATTGTAGTATTAGGGAATCCTCTACTTTGCCAGAGGACAAGCTGGCTCAGAAATGAGCATGTTTTGCCATAATACACAAGAGCTCAACATATTCAACATTGTGAATATTAGACTATGTAGCACAGTGCCCTACTAAGGTATTTTGGAAGGAATAATAGAGATATGGCCATACCTTTTCTGGAGGAAAGGGGGATTATTGAGGGACAGGGAGGGAGTAAACACAAGGCAAATTGTGAGGCTTTCTGAAAGCTTGTCCTGGAAGGAAGGGCGGAAAGATGAGATGGCAGCAAGTCCAGGGCTGCTGCTTAGTGATGCCTTAGCATGTGAGGAGAAAGGAAGAGCAGGATGCAGCAGAAGCTGGAAACCAAGAAAAAGAAAAAGAGATGAAACTGTGGAAGGAGGAGTGAAATGCTTCATTCTTACCTCTGTCACTTGTCTGAAGCACTTTACAGGGAGATAAGATCTTTAGGCAGTATAAAACCAAAACAGGGAAATGAAACCCCCTGTTTAGGGGCTAACAAGATTTTACCAGGTTACAGAAAGATTGTGTAGCCACAAACATCCAAACATAGGCTTTCAGGAGTAGGCCAGACAGAGAAGCTATTAGCGATGCAGGCAGAAATCCAAGGTACCAGGGAATAAGATCACCATGGGCAATGTCAGGGAGCCAGCAAAGAGTCTCTCAACAAAGAGAACGGAATAAAAACATTAGTCTGGGGTCCAAGACTAATTAACAGAAAACCAAAACCAGAGTGTAACAAAAATTGAAGGGTGGATTTTCAGGTGAACAAAGGTTAACAGTGATTGATCATGCTTTTCTGAGTAGATGGATGTTTCACTATAGGTAGTCAATTTTGGTACTACTTAAAAGATCCCATGAGAGTTCAAGGCTTTTGCATGGCAATTGATAAGTGGTAAGAGACTTGTGAGAGTCCTTCGTCCAATGCACAGAGGGCCAGGGTACTCTCTTGTGCATCTCAGAAGATGACTGGTGATGGAAATTGGTCCTGTTTTGGTACTTCCCCATCTTGGACACAGAGACCATGGCTTAATTTAATGGACTGTAGCATTTTGTATGGAACCCAGAGGCATTGTGGCTTGTCCTGTCATGCAAACCCAGCCGGCAGAGGTTTGAGGATTAGACAACCTTCAGATAATCCATGGCTTCATCTAGACCTCAGTCAACACCTACTGCTTAGTGTAATGTGAACTGGTTCAGGATTCTGCCCGACAAGAATGATCTGACAAGAGGAGCAAGCTGTTACAATTGCCAGGTGTTGGCTTAGTGGGATGCTGGCACCCAAGGTCACGGGAGGACCGGCTAGGCTCTTGGTATGTAGAAGGGAGAGACAATATCCAATATATCATATGCAAGGACAAGAGCATTTGCACGCAAGGACAGGAGATTGCGGCAATAAGGGCCAAGGGTTCCTGGGATCGATCCGGGAACATCACCCCATGGATCATCTGACCCAGGTTGGGGGGAATAAAGCTAAGGCCCCAAAGGGGTTCAGGGCATCTCTTGGAGGCGAGGTTCCATTCTCATTGACAGACACTGTGCCAAAGAATGTCATGCCACCCTGTGTCTTTGATTGCTATGACTGGTATAGTCTTTGTGTGTATAGCTAAGGCTAGGGTGATCTTTGCTATTTTGTGTCCGAGGGGGCCAACAAGGCCTGGGCCTTGGGGGGCTTTGGTTGGTTGTGAAGTGTATTGCTGCTGCTCTCCAAATCCCCTCCCCTCCCCTTTTATTCCTTGTAAGTTTTAGCTGTTTTAGTACCCTCCACCCCTATCTTTTAGCCTTTTAATAAATCCATGTTTTTCTCCAGTGCTTGGGTTGTCATGTGCTGAACCAGTGTCTGGTCCAGTGTTCTGGAACCAGGGAGTTACTGGGTGGAACTCTTAGCCCAGGAGCAGGGAATCTTGGGCAGCCGTCCACTGCACCTGCGCTCACACCACGCAGCAAGTCTCTGCGTGTGCACTGAGCCGCGGCTGACATGCCATGCAGACAGGAGCAGAGTTACTTCAGGCCAAGGTTCTGGAGTCCAGGACCTACGGCGTTTCACCTGTGTCATCTGTAACCATGCTCCTCTCTGGCAGGGTATAATGGCTGGAATCAATGCTGGCCTGCGGGTCAAAGGGAAACCTCCCTTTATCATCAGTCGAACTGAAGGTTACATTGGTGTTTTGATCGATGATCTCACCACTCTTGGCACCAGTGAGCCATACCGAATGTTCACCAGCCGCGTGGAGTTCCGGACATTCCTACGCCCAGATAATGCTGACAGCAGGCTCACTTTCCGAGGTAATCCTGTCCCCCAGCAGCCTTCCTTTGGGACCAAGTTTCACTCTTCTCCCTTCTCATTCTTTCACACTTTTATGACTCCTAAGGCTACAGTGAAGCTGGCTGTGTATCCAAAAACCGACACGAGCAAGCATCTCGGATGAAAACAATGTTGGAAGAAGGCAAGGAAGCACTGAAGTCTGTTCAGCTCAGCTGCAACAAATGGGTCCAGCTCATACCAGAGGTTACAATTAATGCTCAGCATCGCCCATTCTGCAGGTACAGGCAAGCTCTCTTGTCTTTTAGTGAGGTACAGCAGGAGGAAATAGGGAAGCATCCTTCATATTCTCTCATGTGGATTCCAGTTTAAAATGATCATACAGCCTATCTCAGGCGCAAGTAAATGGGTTTAGAATTAAAGTTTTGATTACGTCTTAATTCACTAAGTGGCTTGGCTCAGGCCTCATTTCTTTTACACGGGCCTACTTTTTGCCATAGTTGCCAGAGCACCGCTTCCTTGTCCATTTTTCCTTGTCATTTTTTAAAAAAAATAGATAAGATATCCATTGGAAGTTCTTGAGCTAAAATGCTGTGCTTCTTCCTTTGTTTTGTATCGTCTACGAATATATCATGACCTACTAATTTCTGATAGAAAAGCTGTGCTCTCTAAGTTACTAATTGCATGCCTGGAGTCTCCCTTGTGCTCCTTGAGGTAAGGTAGTAGGCACCTTGCTTTGTGTGAGAACAATGGATAATGCAGTGTGGTTGGGATTCCTGCATGGCAGCTCCACAATAGGTGCTGATGTGAGGAGGTTTTAACACTGGAAGCATTTAATTTCACAGAAATGGTTATTAAGTTCGGTTTCTTGATTTTAGCATTTCATACGCATCTTTTTATAAGAAGCACACTCAGGACATTTTGCAGTTCATTCCGCTGGCCTAATTGTCTGGGATGGCTGGTTTTTGTTTGCTCAGTGCTCTGGATGTCCTTCAGTGCAGAGATGTCGATATGAATAGTTTGGCAAGAGCCATCCCAGAGACCTTGAAAAAGTTTGCTGAATGGAGTCAACTCGCAGAGAGGCTGAAATTAGAAGGTATGGAAGACCAGCAAAGTTGTAGCAAGACATAGGTAGTATTCAACAGAGCTTGCTCATCTGGGAATTAGTTCAGAATGAGATTCCTGTCACCCACAGGGCACACACTCTGGATTTCAGCAGAAAATAGCTGTTCTTACAGGCCTATGTAGCCCATGACTCTGGAGAGAGATCTCACTTGTCTTCACTCTAGTGAGGCAGGTGTGAATCAATGTATTTATTTATAATTATTTATATGCCAACTTTCAGGATACAAATCCTATCAAGGCCATTTACAAGCAACATAATCATAATAAAACCACAATGAACAGCATTAGTGAGTTTTTAAAAAATAAATCACAGGGAGCTTTCCTGGAAAATAGTTGGTGGAAGTTGGCCCTGTGGGCAGGGAATGACCAGCAGAAACCGGAGCAGAGTGGGTACCTGTTATGATCCTTCCATGCCTCTCTCTCCTGGAATCCTGCCCTCCAGACAGTCGATGATTGATGGCCCAAGGGTGGGACGGGCCAGCTGGAGCACTCCCTGAATTAATCTTCCCCTGCCTCCCTCCCACTCTGTATTTAGACTGCAATCCAAAATACACTTTCCAGGAAGTAAGCCTTAATGAGCACAGGGAGCATACCTCTGTGTAGGATTGCACTGTTTGGATACTTCAAGCTTTCCTAGACAAGACTATATCCTGTGTTTTACAGGAAAGTTCAGCCATCCACATTATTTTGATTGCAAGCATTATTGCTCAAGATAATGAATATTCTAAGTTTCCATTGATAATGCATGAGAAGTCCTAGTTGCAGAAAGCTGTGTTAGTGTATGTTGGGATTTTCCTTAATGTCCTTTTCTGTTATGTTCATTGATCATCCTGTTCATTCTGTTGCATTCCTGCCAGCTGTTTATGAGTGGCATGTGTCCAGTCAGAAACTGGAAATAGAGGAAGTACGTCGTGATGAAGCTCTCCAGCTGCCAGAGGATCTGGATTATTTTGCCATCAATACGTCACTATCCCAAGAAGTACGAGAGAAATTGGATTCTCACCGTCCCCAAACGGTAAGATACTGGCATCAGAGCAGAAAGAAGGTTTAATGGATGCTGTGTAAAAACTAGACATTATTTCTGGTCCTGAGATCTTTAGTTATTTCCAAATGTCCTGTCATGAGCACAGAGGGAGCATTTGGAGGAAGGGGCTTCTTGCCAGTTTTGTTTGGTGAATTTTCAAACTTGCCAGCTTTGAGAAGTTGCTAAGATAATTTCACTTCCAGTCAAGAAAAAATGGGGTACAAGAATATTTAGCAAAAATAAGATTGTTTCATTGTGTCCCCTTCTTAAACCTTTGGCAGTGTTTCAACAGCTGCAACAGATTTAGGCTACAATCCTGTATATATAATTACCGGGGAGTAAACTTCAGTGAACTCAGTAAGGTTTACTTCCAAGAAGACTTGCCTAGGATTGTATTGAAAATATGGCAGCAGCGTTCTAAAAGGCCTTGAAGACAATTCCTCCTCTGGAAATATCAAGGAAGATATTTTCTTGGAAGATATTTTTACTCTAATTTCCTTTGCTGTTCTCTTTGCTGAAATATTTCAGAGTAGCTTAACTGTCTTGTTCTAATTTTAGTGATGAGTCCATCTCTTTTAATCATTGTCATACACTGTGTACCTTTTATGTACAGCCAAACCAAAAAAAAAAAGGCACACACTATATAATACTATGCTTAGGAAGTGATGTCATGTAAGGATCAAGGGACTAAGCTATGAATTGGGGCATCTCTGGTTCAAATGAACTTGCTTCACACTCTCTTCCCCTTTCTGTCCAGCCCTCCTCGCATCCATTGTATAGGGATGATAATTTCTTTTAAGGATCAAGTGGTTCCTAAGCGTCTTCA